TATTATTTCCCCCCTTTTTTCATATGTCTATAATTTTTCTTTGTTTTATCTTCATTTTGAACTTATATAATGAGTTCNTACAATTATTTCTCTCTATATCGAATCGACATTGTTTTGGGTATTCAACTTTATTTTACATTTCGTTTTGCAACGAAAAATCCATAGGAGGTAGAAACTATTGAATAGCGAGTTTGTGTAAAAAGATGTATAAGGGAGTACGATGAAAGAAAAATTAACGTTCGATAAAAATTTCGAAAATTGTCTATTGCAATAAAAAATACCATGTGTACTGCTCTGCAGCCCAGTGAAATGATGCTACAAAGTTGAAACTTGGCTTGATCTTTAAAAGGTTATTTTTATCGAGGAATTATAAATTGTTCGACTGTTATGAAAATCTTCATTTTTAGAATTAATGTCATTTTGTTCGTTAGGCTGTTCAAAATCTTTTTATATGTATAATATAAATCAGTCCTTCGCAGTAAAAAATTCCGTACAAAAAAAATCTGATTAGTTTTTTTAATAATATTTACTGAATCACTGTAATTTAAGAAAAATCTGTCTATAAAAATTACAGTATAAAATTTTACATTGAAAAAAGTTTTTACGGATATTGTTTTTACTTCATTATATTTATTTCAGTTTTATTTCAGTGTGTCTACATTTTTCCTAAAATCTTAATAATGTCTGACCTTTTCTAAAAAGTTTATTTTTCTTGCTTTCCTTTTTATTACTTTCAACTTTCCCTTGAAATTTTTTTTCTTAAATGAGGAAAATTGAAAAGATAAATAATCGAAGAATAAAATCGCTATAAGAAGACATAAGTTATTTTCAACACTCCGATTTAAAAATTTTTTTTACAGGGTGAAATCTGCTGTTGGGAAACTCTATTGTCATTTTACTGTGATCACAATAGAGTCATTACGGTACTCTTCCTGAAAACTATTATCTCCTTATAATAACTATATTATAAATTAATTTGTATGTCATTATTTATTTTACAAATATACATAAAATTATATTCTCCATCTTAGAAAACTATACTCAACGCAAATCACGTGAAATATCGATTTTCGGGAAACAATCTTATTCGTGGGGGAGACACATTTCGAAATTCATGTTTAAGAAAATGAACACAATTTTCGACCCATCTTTAACAAAGAATAATGAGCTTATTTTACTTTAAACACCAAGCATAATCATCCAAGACATTGGGGTGGCTAGTTATATTATAGATTTAACTTTTCAGACGATGTTTTAGCAATCAGAAATCTAAACGATAAACTGAACTCACAACAGAAATTTACTATAATAAATTTATAGCACTCGTGGCAACACTGTAAAAGCAACCGTTTGACTTTTAAAGTCTTAAAAGAACATTAATTTTTAAAAAAAATGTACCAAGCTATTTTTGCAAATGGACGATAACACATTTATTTGGATTCATTAGTTTTGTTCTTCAAAAAAGGAATAATATTCATAAGAGAAGTTCGAAAACGGAATAAACTGCTAGTTTCTTGAGTTTCGTGCTGTATCCAAAATAACACGGTCATAACCGATGAATCTCGTACTCATTACAGGGTGGCTATAAAATACTGTTACAAATATCACATCATTTTGTTGTACAGATATTAAATTTTTTTTTTTAATGGCGGGCACTTGGAGCTATTGTCCATTGGTCACAGAAAGTGCCAGAACTGCTAATTCTCTTTTCGTTACCCAGTGGGCACCTGTGGCGAAGCCACGGCGGTGGAACAGCGTCGCCCACGTCACACTACCACAACCCGTTTATAGGGCGGGTCACATTCACACACAAAGGAGAAAGGACATAGAACACAGATAGAGGGAAAGAAACATCCATGCCTTGCCCGGGATTCGAACCCAGAACCTTTCTGATGCAAGGACAGTTCCCTGCTCCCTACACAGACTGGTCAGCATAATTGATATACGTAAATATATATATATTGTGAAAAGTGATTACTCAGATTTGAAATTCATGCATTTTAATATCGTATTAATTTTTTTTTCTTTTTTGTAAAAAAAAAAAAAAAAAAAAAAAAAAAAAAAAAAAAAAAAAAAAAAAAAAAAAAAA